ATTGTGTCCTCCCCCCCAAGCAACAGTGAAAGTCTCATGGGGCCAAAATCCAGCGCACTGAGCCAGGGAGAACTCTTCCGGGTGTTGCACATCTAAAATATTTGGAAATGCCATTCTAGTATATGAATCCATGCTACGACTGGATCATCCCATCCTCCTCATTCACACAGACACTGACCAGCCAAGAAAACCAAACCAGCAAGAAACTACTCGGAAACTTTTCCTTTTCTTTCTTTTCCTTTACAGAAATGTTTATGGCATGAATTACTATATTAGAAATATGTATACACAAGTACATGACAATATTTTTTTTTTAAAATAATGTATAATATACAATTCTACATATACTTTATGTACAGATCTGAATGCAGCACCGGACCCATACAGATATAAAATTGCGGAATTTAAATCTTTCTAAAAACGTCTATTACGCAAAGCCAGGCTGGGAAAAAAATGTTCAGTGATGAATGACCCTCCCCCCAGATATGTAGCATGTTTAACCCATACATGGCTGGAGGGTTAGGACTGCAGTGCTGATGCATTGTAACCCTCCGCACAGCAGGAGGAATGGAATACAATGCTCTGTATGTGCATAAGCTTTACTAAATATATGTGCACATGTTGACACCGCTGGTGTACGTCGGGCTCCGGTGTGCTATAAATTAAAAGGGGGCAGTGTAAAGGTAAGGAAAGGGATGTGGTTTAAAGGGTCAGTGAAGCCAAAACTGGTTATTTCAGATCTGGCTGGATTCCAGCATGTTGATTCAAGCACTAGATTCTTATAATTCCCAAGGATTCCAACAGAAAGAACTCTACACCTGAGTTCACAACTCCACCCACGTCTAGCGGTGGAGCTGTGAACTCCCATACAAAGTACTTATGTTGGCTGTTAGCTTATTATATGGTTTCCATTACAGAGGTTTCCACAGCTGGAACAACACTTTGTTGCAGGTGAAAGATCTCTCTGAGAGAGAACTATTAGAAGAAGAGATAAATCGAAACATATTCACAATATGGCCAAACATTTGTGGAAACCTGACCATCGCTCACACTATATGTCCAAAAGTATGTGACTCCCCTTCAAATGATGGAGTTCAGGTGTTTCCAATGAAGGGTTCTGTTAATACTTTGTCATATAAAAGACATTGTAGACAATTGTGCTTTTCCATCCTTGTGGTCACAGTTTGGTGAAGGCCCTTTTCTGTTCCAACATGACTGCCCCCCTGTGTATAAAGCCAGCTACACATGGTTGGACCAGTTTGGTGTGGAGAAACTTGAGTGTCCTGTGCAGAGTCTTGACCTCAACCCTACAGGTCTCTCCTCTCACCTACACAAAGATATATTGTAGGTATTGTTTCATACAGCCTATCAGTTCTAGGAGCTGGCACCACATCAACATGAAACACTTTATGGTGCCATTGTACATCAGGCATTTGAGAGGCTTTCATATTTTAGCCCGCAGCTTGGCATTCCCAACTGTATAAACATCAAGTGCACTTTAAAAAATAAATGGCCACGAGGTCCCAAAATTTCATCAAATGTCCTCTGAATTCCAGAAGATTGTGTGCACACCCGCTCGTATGCACTTCCTTCAATCAGGGTACAAGTATAGTATACTCATCGTTGTACTCTGAACCCTGCACATTAATAAATGCTAGCCAATAAAAGAATTAGCATAAAAGAGAAACATTAGAAAATCAGAATTAAGTTATATTGTTCATTCTAGTCCTTCATTGAAGACTGATATTTTCAAGTCTTCAATACATTTTATACCAGTTGGTCTTGTGAGGATTCACAAGGAAGGTCACTAGTAGAGCGACGCCAGACATGAAAGGTGTCTTAGGTGACGCCCTCTAGGGAAGCCATGATATGAGGGGTTTTATGTCTCTGGTGACCATGGCTGCCTTCTTGTCTGGTGGACAATGGTGAAGGAACATGGTGAGTGTCTGTCATTCCAGACTGGCCGTGTGGTCACTGTGGAAAATGCTTAGAAGAGTCAACTTCTAAATGGGTCTTGGGGCCTGTGCTAGCTCATGCTTAATACTCCTGATTTTCAAGAACAAGAAATATAATACTCCACTAATATAAAAAAAATATATATATATATATCCCGCATTTAACCCTTAAACTGATTCACAATTTTACTCTGCAGTGATTCCCACATAACCGGCACCCTCGGCACTTGATCATGTGATCTCTTCTGCAAAGGGGAGGTTCAGAGGTCTGACCATCTAATCCATCCCTTTGGCAGAAACCAGGCAACCAAATTCCTAGTCCTTGGTCACCATCACTGGAGGGAATATGGAGCAGCATTTTCTAAGTCAAAGAAAAGTATTTCAGCTAGGGCTGGTAATGATTAAAATTTTCGTGTTCGATTAATCGAAATGTTTTTTAATCGATTAATCTCGATTAATTATAACGCACATACAGATCCAACTACATTGGCCTCTACAGATACAGCACAGCAATGAAGTAATAAAATGAACTAGGATCACACTAATCCAGCACGTTATTATTCTGACGTGCCCCACTCAATATGGCCACAGCCCTTCTGCTAATCTTTACCTGCCCCACGGGGCTGTTGATATAGCTTTAAGGTAAAGAGAAACTTTTGGTAACTCTGCACGTCTGAATAGACTCCTGACATGTCGCAATATACAGCAACTGTTTTAGAAAAGCCCCACCATTTATTATTATTACTGAGCTCCAGTCAGTGATTTTTCCTAGACTGTGATAATGTCATCAGTCTGCTGCAAGAAGGAGGAAGCATTTCCTCAGTCTCCCCCCCCCAATGATCAGTCTGCTGTAGGCAGGAGGAAGCACTTCCTCAGTCCTCCCCCCCCCCAATGATCAGTCTGCTGCAGGCAGGAGGAAGCATTCCCTCATTCTGCTGCAGGCTTGAAGTGCTGGGCGGAAAACCGTCTGCCGAACAGTTGCCGTTTCCAATCAGATAATTGGCCGATGAGGTGATGAACTGATTTCTCTGACGGTGCATGGCTCGGCTTACTCCGTCTCACTATAGGTCAGGTCTGCTGGACTGTACACAATGCCCTTTCTATCACCGAGACTTATCTCAGCAGCTGCTGATCTGGGATGACACATACATGTAATATAGTTTGGAAATATGGTACAGGGGAAGGTTTAAAAAATGTGAAAAGAGATTTTGTCAAAAAATGTTTTGGAGGATAAAGATTACAATCATAAAATATGGATTCACTAATAAAAAGCATTATAGTTTACCGCTGTTATACTACAGTTAGGGACCCCATTTTGCAGCGGTACCTCGGCGCGGCAGTGTGGCTTCACGTGTTTGCAAATATATGCAACGAAAACCTCTATTTTTAACTTAAATTGTTGAAGCCGTTTAGACTTTGTATTGCGCAGACTAACTGGTAAGTATGCTGGGGATGTTTTATTTCCATTTTACTGTTCTATAGAATTCCCCACCTACCCATGTCCACCTTACTTTTGATCTGAGTGGTTGCCATTTTCTCTTTCCTGTTAAGTTCCCATTTGGAGCGTACCTTCTTCAGATATAAGTGGCTTCCATTTTGGGGGTAAATCAAATACTTTTACTGGTGCTACCTTTTTCTAGAAACCAGGAACAAGACAAATGTGCCTGTAAGACATCCTGGGCTTGTAGTTTTGGCTTCAACCTTTACGCTAACCATACACGTCAATATCAGCCACTTGGAGTCTACCACCCATGACCACTGGGTATCACAAGCAGTCTACCACCCACGAGTTCCATCAAACACCAAAATTTGGCTGTAAAACTGGCCATAGCTTTTATGTTTTTATTCAAATTTTGGGTTGAATGGGGACAAACTATTGCAATTTCATGGATAATTCCGCCACGATCCTCCGGGACAATCAATACCACTAATTTATGTCTTCGAATGCTTTGCAAATTTGACCAAAAATGGAACCAAAAGATTGATCCCTTGGTTAAATTGCCACGTGTATGGCCAGCTTAACAAGAATGACTGTTGCCTTTAACCATCTAGTGATGGCACCTATACTCATCCATATACCAGTTCTTGGCCATTGGAGTCCCTATCAGTGAAGCTGAAAAGTTTCAGGTTCCTTGCCCTGGAACTAGAGCCAAAAAAGTCAGTTGTCTTTACAACCCTGTCAGGGGGAATTAAATATATCCTATGTCCTGTAGCGACATAGACATTGGAGGTTAGAATCACGGAACATAGAGGGGGACACAGACATCCAACCCTCCCATAAGTCACTGACGAAGGCTGCATCATTGGAACATAAGGGACGTTAGGGACACGGACCCCCAGAGAGGTGAGCATGCTACTTCTTCTCTTGCAGGGACCTCTGTTTTTGATATTTAATTCCCCAACAGGGTCTCCTGAAGCACAGAAACTGTTTCTGAGACAAATATTGTCCGTTTGTGCGACTTCCTTGAACGGAATCCCTTTTGTCATAAAAAAATACAGCGTTACAGAATGCATGAAAATACTAAAAACGACCAAAACAGTTACAGTATGGACAGTCTAAGTGACAAAATTTGTAGTGCTCCTCAGTCCAATACTGTACGTCACAGTTACCCATCCAATTTTTTTTTTTAAATCAACTTTCCATAGGCCAAATATACGATTGATCAGATAATTGTAAGGATCAGTTGATTGGATCCATTAAATAGAGGAAACCGTGTCTTATTTCACGTGTCTCTAATTGAGCCGGGCCCCCCGGGATATTTTGTTCCTCTGGTTCCCGTGGGCAGAGAGATTCCAATCCGGGGAACACAATTCCACTTTGCGAGACTTGTCGTCTTTTACAGCACAGCTGTTGCGTTGAGTTGCAGTCCCACTGGAACCCCCGTTCTTTTTCGAGGACCGAGCTCCTGTCTGCTTTGCAAGTCGTCTTTTTATAAAATATCACAAACTGGCAACAAAAAAAGTCATATCGAGTCCGTTAATACTGTTAAGCAGGTCCTGAAGTTTTTTTTTTCACATCGAGGACTTTAGAACACTTCATCGGCTGCAAAGATAAACCATTATGGATCAGTCCAAGGGCTCCTGTTTTATCCTCATTGTGTTTGGATGCACCCGCCTGTCCTCTCGGCACAATACGTATTCGCTAAACTGCGAGGAGTCAACTCCGCCGCCGCAAGAGGCGGCCACGTGGAATCCCTTTTGAAACAGTCTTTCGAGCACCTGCGGGATTAAAAAGAAGAGTTACATGTTGGAAACAATATGACAAACATAGATATGGCAACAGATATTAGTTACAAAGTATACAATGTGTGTGTGTGTGTGTGTATATATATATATATAAGATGTCAAAAAAGACAAAAAAACGCAGTATTGCAGTGTGCAATGATACCTTTCTTATTGGACTAACAAAATATATACAAGACAAGCTTTCGAGAGCGAACCTCTCTTCTTCAGGTCAGAAGCACAAGGTGTGTGTATGTATATAATTACAAAATGTATATCGTTGCAAAGTACTCCTGACTGAGCACTGTTAGTATCTCAAATGGCAGAAAGGAAAGTTGCTTTCTGTGTTGCTGACGTCCGTTCTGGGATTGTGCAATGTTTACTAAACTGAGAACAGAGTGGACCTGATGTTGAACTAGTCCCTCTGCATTTCCATCAGGCTCCACTCACTGGTTGTTAAGGACGCTGTCGGCCGTAGTGACGACCGTTTCCGCCCAGTGATCAAGGCCGGTGCTAGACTATTTTGTGCCCTAGGCAAGATCAGCCTCTTGCACCCCCCACCCAGCCCCCCTCCCGCGGCGCAAACCTCTATCCCCCCCAGTTTTCCTTCTGGCTAGCTTCCACAGGCGACAGATGGATGTAAGCAGCCAGGAGCAATAGCTAGACTGCTGTTGGCTGTTTTAATCTGAAATAGCCAATAGCAGACTGGCTATTGAAACCCCACCCACTGAGCAGAGAAGTGGACCTGAGAGAGAAAGTTGTTTCTCAGTTCCGCTCCTCTGCTCGGTGGACGGGTGCAACAGCCAGCCTGCTATTGGCTTTTGCAATTTGAAATAAATGGGGAGGTGAGTGGTTGAGGCTGTGCCCTAGGCAAGCAGTGCTATCTAGGCGACTGCCTAGTTGTAACACCTGCCCTGCCAGTGATGTCATTATCTTCTAAGTGAACTGATAGGCCGAGTACAATTCAGAGTACAAGAGCTCGAGAGTCCCGAATTGTCGCAGAGAATAAAATTTACCTTGTATTAAAATAGATTTTAATCAGTCAATCACGTCAATCTCATAGAGGCTTTAATATATTCATGTAGTTTCAGACGCCATAATTATCTTTTTAAAGCTTCAGCTTTTATTAAAGTAGAACTGAGAGCAGAGTAAGGGAGGGTTATTAACCCTGCCAGCTTTTTTTTTTTGCCTTTGGGGAAAGTTCCCATCACTTCCTGTTTGATAACCACAACAGGAAGTGAGAGGAAATCCCACCAAACAGAGAGAAATGCCTGGATTGCTGAGGACCTCTTTGCAGGTATTTCCTCTTACTACTTGTCACCAGAACACTCAGCGATCACTGATCACTGACGGCTTGTACCCGTTCTCCATCCTGACAGCTGTCACCACGGGAGGCTGAGCGAGCGGTGCGGGGAGGAGAGCTCACCCTCCTTTGACAACGCGGCCTGTCTCCGCCCACACACCGCTCTGCCGGACGGTGACAGGAGGCTGAGCGGTGTGGGAGGAGAGACGCCGGCCGCTCACAGCACTCTCCTCCCGAAGCGCTCGGCAGCCTGTCACACTTTCTCTCCTCCCCGCTGGGACACAGAGCAGCGCCCAGCGGTGAGGAAAGAAAGAACGGATGCAGCGCTATATCGGCAGAAAATTGAATTTTCGGCATTAAGCCAAAAGTGCCATTTTCGGCCGATATGTTTCGGCCGATGTATCGGTGCATCCCTAGTTATTACTGTACTCGTCTTTCACGGCACTGTACTCATTTTTAAAAAAATTAAAAAGTAAATGATAAAAAAACCACACGATACAAAGACGCCGCGTTTTGTGGGGGTCGGTCACTTTAGACTTTTTTCCTCGGGCGGAAAGTCTAGGAAATGCAGCGCCCTTCCCAGCGATTCTGAGCTTGTCAATGAACAAGACTCTTGTTATTAGTCTGAGGGCGAGTTCTACAGAAACTCTTCTTTCCAGAGAAAAAAAAAAAAGTACTGATCAATTTTTTTTCCCTTTAAAGTCCATACCGCAGGCACCATCATTTAATTATGAGCCAGACATAAATTATGCATTTATACATTGTTGCATTCTCTGAAGTGGCGGAACACTGAAAAAAAAAAATCTTCCCGGGTAGGTGTTTATGAGGGTGTAGACGCTAGGTCTGTAGACGTTATTCACAGGCAGAGGGAGGGAAACATGTCATTCTATCAACCCATCTATTTATCTGTTATTCTATATATCTATTTAGCTATAAATGATCTATTAATCATCCGTCTATTGATCTATCTATCAATCCTCTATGTATTTATCTATCTAATCTATCTATAGAGTGAAGTATCTATCATCGGTCTATTGATCGATCTATCTTTTTATTATCTATCAGCCAAACACTTTATCTATATTCTGTCTATACATCCGTCTATCCTTGTATAATATCAGATGTGTATCCTTCATCTTGAGAAAGATGGACTGAGCTCCATCAAAACTTCTACAATAAAATGCTGATGGTTTGACTTATCTCCGCAACAAGACCCATGAGTGCCTCTCTCTCTCTCTCTCTCTCTCTTTCTCTCTCGTTATATCTCTCTCTCTCTCTCTCTCTCTTTTTCTCTCTTTTTCTCTCTCTCTTATAGTCACTTTGGTTTTTCAATAACTCAGATGACTAATAGTGAACGGCTTGACATAATTAAAAGGTAAAAATTTGATTGTTCAGTGACGGGAGGCTCTGGCTGCCAGGATGGTGGGCGGAGTGGACGTTCACCTAGGTTTTCTCACATACACATGGTGAGGGGCTCCGGGGTTTGTGTCTTCTATGGAGACAGAGCTCTGTTGTGGGTCCTGAAGCCCGAAGGCTTTGTAGAGCTTTGGGCTGGGATAGAACCTCCAGTCTTGGGTCGATGGCTTACCTGTGAGCCAAACCCCACTAATTAGCTGTCCGCAGGCCTTTTCATATCTGAGCTGATATCTCTGCTGCTGGGTGAAAGGGCTGACTGCAGACGGAATGCTAAAAAGGTACAAGAGTTGCCTGTTTGTTTTGGGGACTCCATTAGGGGGCGCCCTGTTAGCCAGAAACTGACATAGGTTAAGTTAGTGGCGTGGACGAGCAGTTCTTCTGTTTGTTTTATGCCCTCCTGCATTGAATTGTTTGTTTATTAGCTTGCTGTATACAAGAGCAGGACATACCTGCTTGGACTGTTCCTGGGTATCCCTGCCACTTGCATGGATTACTGCTGCCAATACCAGCTGAGTCTACCCCTTATACAGCGATGACAAATGTAAATATTTCTTATTATTACGTTACTAGTAAACCAATGCAGGTATTATGTACTCAGTAAGAGAGGATGGCATCACAGTACTGAGCAGTGGCGGACCTTAGGAACAAAGGGCCCCAGTGCAAGATTTTTTTCTTGGGAAAAATCAGATATAGATCTGCACATGCGCACTGCCTGCCACTCTCTCCCTGCCTGTTAT